GTCTCATTGCAGCCGTTCTCAGGAACTGAGTTCTGTGTTTGTGATCCATGATTCAGCTACTACCACGCATTGGGCCCGAAACCAATGGACCCTCTCGGCTTCTTGATCACCCTTGTCCTCTGTCCAGGAGTTGCAAGTAGTTTCTGGTGTTTGTAGTATGCTGGAGGCCGTGCGCAGTGCTGACCGTAGGGGTGGGCTGTGATGCGGTAGGCACGTGGCACAGTGTACCGGGCGCCCGTTTGGTGTCTCGGGAACCCTGTTCACATCGTTTGGGGTTGTGAGCGAAACTCCGGCCGGATCTCCTCATGGATGGAACCCGAATAGGCGATAAACCTGGACTAGAGACTCGAGTGTTTAGGCAGGCCGTGGCCGACACCCACGTTGGGCTTCCGCTTGAAGGTTGCCGAGTACATGTCGTGTAAACGGCGGTAAGTGGTGAGAGCGTGTGTGAAGAAGTACACCCCTGCAGGGTTAACATCATCTATTCGAATAGCCGTGTCCGCGGTAAAGGACTTCTGGGTTGCTTATATCAGTTCATAGACAAGTGAAAGTGGATACTCTAAAATACGCAAGATAAGCGTGAGTGCTATGGATGGCGTTCTCGTAGGGAGACGGGAGCGGATCCATAGTGGTGTATTGATATGGTGAATATGTGGACTCGTGTGCGCCACCTCAAAGAGTTACATTGCAGTCGTAGTTCAGGATAGCCACCGAGTCAAAGCTGGCTTGCTGCAGTTAAACCCCACCATCCCCTTTGTTGATAATGATGCATATGTAGTTAGTTCTGATGTAAGTCTTGCTGGGTACATTTGTACTCACGTTTGCCTATTTTATGTTTTTGCAGAGAGACTTCGGTCTCGCTAGTAGTCCCGTGTGGACTTCGACGTTTAGCTTGTTACCTCAGCTACGATCTTGTGCCCCGGCAGGATCTGGTAGATAGTCAGGCTTCTCAGCCTTTTTTTCAGTTATAGATGTCTGTACCCAGACATGATAGCTTCCGCTTGTGCTTTGATTTGTATGCTCTGATTGTTGGGTCATGAGACCCATGTTTGTAATATCTCGCTCCTCGGAGCCTATTGAGTAAATACTTGAGTTGTAGAGTCATTTTGTGATGCCATGTTGTATTGCACATATCGAGCATATTGTGTGTATGTTATTGAAATGCTTGGTATGTGTGGGATCTGACTATCTAGTTGTTTATCTTTAGTAGCCTCTCTTACCGGGAAATGTCTCCTAGTGTTTCCACCGAGCCATGGTAGCTTGCTACTGCTCCAGAACACTTAGGCTGGCCGGCATGTGTCCTTCTTCGTTCCTGTGTCTGTCCCTTCGGGGAAATGTCACGCGATGAATACCGGAGTCCTGTTAGCCTGCTACAGCCCGGTTCACCGGAGTCCTGCTAGCCCAGTGCTACAGCCTGGATTCACTCGTTGATGGCCGACACGTTCGATGCCGGGTCATGGATGTCTGTCCCTGTAAGTCTGTGCCACTTTGGGTTTACGACTAGCCATGTCAGCCCGGGCTCCTTATCATATGGATGCTAGCGACACCGTCATATACGTGTGCCAAAAGGCGCAAACGGTCCCGGGCTAAGGTAAGGCGACACCCGTGGGAATACCGTGCGTGAGGCCGCAAAGTGATATGAGGTGTTACATGCTAGATCGATGTGGCATTGAGTCGGGGTCCTGACAAATAGATACTTTCGGAGATACCTGTAGTGCACCTTTATAGTCACCCAGTTACGTTGTGACGTTTGATACACCCAAAGCACTCCTACGGTATCCAGGAGTTACACGCTCTCATGGTCAAAGGAAGAGATACTTGACATTGGCAAAGCTCTAGCAAACGAACTACACGATCTTTGTGCTAGGCTTAGGATTGGGTCTTGTCCATCACATCATTCTCCTAATGATGTGATCCCGTTATCAACGACATCCAATGTCCATAGCCAGGAAACCATGACTATCTGTTGATCACAACGAGCTAGTCAACTAGAGGCTCACTAGGGACATATTGTGGTCTATGTATTCACACGTGTATTACGATTTCCGGATAATACAGTTATAGCATGAATAAAAGACAATTATCATGAACAAGGAAATATAATAATACTTTTATTATTACCTCTAGGGCATATTTCCAACAGTGTCATCCTCCCATATGCGTACCACATGAACCACACATCTCAATTGTGTCTCTGAGACAACTACATGAATATTAATCTTTGAGCCAACATCGATGTCGTACTAGAAACCTTCGGCCTCCCCCCGTGCTACCTCTCCATTGTTACCTCCAAATCAAAGATAAAGTTTTCCATAAACAGGTGGGTGGACATGGGGTATGGAGGATTTCCTCATGGATTGCCTTAAGACATCTCCAAAGCGGCTCACCAAATCTCTTATATATGTTTAGATCAAACGGTATGGACACTTTTAGGCCTCCAACACAGATTCTCGTCTTGGGCTGGACCCATTTGGACGTCTGAACCCCCACAGTCCACCCAAAAAATTGTGGGAGGCATGGGGAATTCCAAACGTCCGCCACGTTGGAGTCCTACAACCCGATCCCACCTAAAACTTTGGTCGATTATAGAAGCATCGCCACATTTAGACCGTCTCATCGACTCTCACCACCCCGCGACGAACCTTCGCTGTTCCAGGCATACCATGTTCATGGTATGACAACCGACGAGGCGCATCGAGGAGCATAATGGGCTATTAAAAAGTCGGCTGGGCACCCCCCAAACTCTACCTCCGAACCCATTCTCTACATTTTCTCACCTCTATTCGTGGTCCAAGCCCCATAGTTTGTCATCCGCCGTTTGTCGTCCCCATGCCGTGGATGAAGATAACGCGATACAAGAAGTTGACGCCGATGTGTCGCGTTGAAATCGTAGTGGGGGTCCATGTTCTAGACGCCCGGTGGCAGGCTCGTATTGAGGCGAGCCAACATACAAGGTCTCCGGAGCCGAGCTCGTAGAAGGAGTAGGAAGGTTACCCCGTGGCGCTAGCGGATGTCCCGAAGGATGACGAGACGCCCGTGGAGGAGGAGGCAATGACCGTCGAGGTCGCGGCTCCGGCTGATGGGGCGGTCGACCACTTCTTAGTGCAAGAGACAACAAGTTCGACCACACTCCTAGACGAGCCCCGCGTGGTCATGGAGCAACTGGAGGTGGAGCGCAGATGCCGCTGCCCTCGTGGCGCTCCTCGCAGACTTATAATTTGTCAACGAGAAACAGGTAGTGCTCGCTTCCGTGCGGAGGGCCCTCACGGTCAACCGAGAGCTCCGCATCAACGAGGCGCTGCGTGCCTTCCTCTTCGAGGAGCTTGAGTCCAAGGATGACGTGGAGACGAAGCAGCACGATGACCATGCCAAAAGAGTCACACATCGACAACTCTCGTGAGTTCGCGCCAATGGCCAATGACGATGGGCTGACTCCTCCTATGCGGGGTCATCGACCTCACCTCAGACAACGAGGAGTAGGCTTTATTAGAATAGTTTTTAGTTATTATTAGCGATCTTTTGCATTGTTTAAAAAAAATCTATGACCTAGTGAAATGACTCGGTGTCAGCCTTATATGAGGTATAGGGTTGAATGATGTATATGGGTACGGACACGTCCGAAGAACGCCCGCAGACATTTGGGGGCGTTCATTTATGCCCTTACATAGGGCATTTATTTAAGAGAAACGTTTTGGGGCAAACCTGGTCACTCGCACTCCTTTTTTTAAAACACACACACTTTGTAAAAGATGCGCGGGGCACTGTCTATGAAGCCCACAACCCGAACTTTCAAGGGCAAACAAGGGAGGGGATACGACAATCTCCGAGCAGGCTCATTGAAGTGGGTCCTATTCACACCCTGTAGCGCCACGCCACCCACCACCTAGACGAGTTGGACCGGTGCAGTTTGGGTTTTTTCTTGTTGTTTCTTGCTCGCTACTTTACTGCAGCTTTTTTGTTATGATTTTGTTTTGCTTATCTTACTTTCATTTTTTCCTTTTCCATTTCTTTTGTACTTTTTAATACATGGTGACCAGTTTTTTTAGCGCACGATCAGCAATTCTTTAACGTATAGTGAACAATTTTAATATACACTAAACATTTACAATTATACAATGGACTCGTTTTTAGTACACACTGAACTTTTTTTAATTCAATGTGAGCATTTTCTTTGCACGTACTGAAAAAATTAATAAAATATTTATTTTTATTTATAATAGAGTTTTAAATATTTATCTCTGTAAAAAAATCCCTGTTTTTAATAGAAAATCCGAAAAAAGTAAAAAAAAAAACAGCTCGCGCTAGAGTGGGCTGGCCTATTAGCCAATGTACGTCCAATTCCTTCTTCTCATTTAGCCCATCCATAGCTTCGGCTCAGCCCACGTCCCGCCCCGCCGCAGGGGTTTCCTTCTTCTCCCCTCCCCTCTCCCCGCAACCGTAGACTGGACACGTCCCCGGCGGGCGGGTGGGCGGCGGGGCCCACAGGCGCAGAAACGCATCCCACGCCTCCTCAACAACCGCATATCCAAAACC